AGAAGCCACATTCTGGTTGGGTTATGCTCACCAACCATCACATGTTGGGGAAGAACAATAAGCTCAGCTTGTTTTCTTAAAAATGCATGCAATGCCATACTGGTTTGCTATTAAAGAGATATTTAAATCTAGGGGAACATTCTGCCAGGCTGATAAAAAGCTTATTTTTGACATTTCTTTATCTTTTCCCAAACTCTGGAAACATTTAAGCAGGCAGCTCATCAATGACATATTGCCTAAATGCTTTGCTGTTCGAAGTAATTTTTCATGATGAATCTTTAAAGTGCCAGAATATCTGATAAGTTAAATTTTGATTTTCTTTCTATGACAAATGTTTAATAGTTGTCTTAGTGTCTTTCTGCACTATGATTTTTATCTGCATTTTATTACAGTCATAATAATATCTAATATACTCTCTCATATCTGTCTTGTTCTTTCTTAAGGTCAAAATTATATCCAGAGCTAAAAGCAGCAGAGACTTTTTCCTTTCTTCCTTGCAGTATTTTAAGGCAATAAATTAGCATTTACAGGCAAATAATAGCAAATTAGGAAATCTAAACGTGATATATATATGCTTTAATATATGCTTGGTAATCAGAACACCAAGTATTGGTATGTCATTACAACAACTAATTTTCAGTCTTTCAAGTAAATGAGATGCTCTTACATTAGGCGGTTTAATTGCTTTTCTTGCCAATAAAAAGAGAAATGTTAATTCCTCCTCCTGTCTTCAGGCAGATTTCCCTTGTTCATATTTTACTGGATATGTTCTTTACTTTTTCACATAGTGATAACCTTAGCTGCCTCCTCCAAAGGCACAGATCCTTCGTAGGGAGCAGAGCAGCAGAAGGTAACATGCAGTAATGTGCAGAAGCCTTTGCAAGGTGGGGATGGGGATGCAGGCTCCTGAAGGGCAGTAGCAGCCCGACCCCAGGGCTCAGGACAGGCTGGCTGCCAAACATAGTCACTGCTGTGCTTGGAGATGGCTTTCACAGCTCAAAGACAGGGACTCATTAGTGGAAACTTATGTCCAAAGCCTCCAAAATGTAGATAGAGCAAAGTAGGGTAAAAATATCCCTATGGATGCAGGGATTCTGCATGTCCTTTAAATGTACTTTAGTGTGTTTTACCAAAGGATGCACGAACAAAAAAGAAGAAAATACATAATATTATTAGCTCAAGGTTGAATAAACTATAGCAGCCGGTCTTTGAAAGTGCAGGTGTAGAGGATGCCTCTCAAACAGTCTAATAAGGAAATAGGCATCTCACCTGCTTCATAGAATCATACAAACCTGCAATGGTTTGTGTTGGAAGGGACCTTAAAGCTCATCCAGTCCCAACCCCTGCCACGGGCAGGGACACCTTCCACTAGAGCAGGTTGCTCCAAGCCCCTGTGTCCAACCTGGCCTTGAACACTGCCAGGGATGGGGCAGCCACAGCTTCTCTGGTTTGTTCGGTAGTACCTGGAGTTATGGACAGAGACCTCCCTTCTCTGCTCCAACACCTCCAAACCACCTCCCACATCCACCAGCTGTGACACTGCTTATGTGAGAGGGCTTGATGAAGATAATGTCTTATTTATCACATGGAGAAATTGAGTAGAAATGAGGTGACTTATCTAAGGTCACAGTCTGAATTACTGTCAAAGGCCAAGGATCAAGGCATTCTCAGCTGCCCAACTTGCTCCTCAATCCCTAGACAAAGCCTTACTGTTCCCACCCTCTAAACTTGTCTATCCTTTCCCTTAGATTAGTCAAGAAAAATAGTAAGGAAAGTCAACAAAATATCTTATCACCAAGCAATGAATCCTTGTTCTCCACCAACGACCACAGCTCACTGCTGCACAGCAAGCATGCTGTAGGCTAGCCTGCCTACAGTCATTCCATCGTCCTCTTGGCACTGAAAAAAGACACAGTATATCACATTTCCAGTTTCTGTCAGCACTGAAGTTAATGTGCTCAGCACTGGCACCCTCAAATCCTTATTTTCTGACAGAGATCAGTAAGGTTACTCTCTGATCTTTCCAAAATAAAGCCACCTTTGAAGTTCAGAACAGAGTTCAGCATTGCACGTCAAAGGCAGTGTAAACTGCTGTGAGTTTTCAGTGGGTGGTGATGGCAAGATCAGACCACTGGTGACAGAACCTCTTCTGTAAGTCAGCTGGATAACCCACATTTTCCAGGCTTCCTTGGTGTGATTTAGGTGAGTGCAAGACTTATGGCTCTTGGTGGCTCCTCACACCATCCTTTTGGTATACGCAGATCCCTCAAGGTGGAGTGGCTTGTCAGGAAATGACTAAATCATAAATAATGGGCTTTTTTTCTGTAGCCAAGAAGCTATTTTTCTCGTAGTCCACACTTTACGTAAGGGGATACCAGCTCTCCATCCCTCCTGAATACACCCTGCTCAAAGGCAATCACCAAAACACTAAACAAGTTAGTCATATCCTGCACAACAAATGAAGAGGCTGATTTTCAAAGCTACACATATAGCTCTGTTGGCTTACAGACAGCCTTGTTTATCACAGGTTACCAAGGCAGAAATCTATTTGATTATGTAGGAAAAAAGTTCACTAAAATGGATGTGAAAGCACAAGGCAAAGATAAATCTGGACTTGGTTTGTTTTTCTTTCCTGAAAAATAAGTTAGGGTGTGGGTGATATGAGCTGCAAGGAGCAGGACAGAGCCACCCACCCCAGGTAACTGCACTGCGACAAAACATCTCCACCTCACTGAGTACAGACAGATGCAGAAGACACACATTGTGCCTGCACAAGGGCATGGTTAAATCTGTGTTACTTGTTTTATCTTAAGTGCTGAAAAGGAAGAACCACCACTGATGGGACCCTGCACACAGGGTTTGGTCTGGTACCTCTCAGCAGCTCTTACCCGCACCCTCAGCATCACAGGATGGTTTGTGTTGGAAGGGACCTTAAAGCTCATCCAGCTCCAACCCCTGCCACAGGCAGGGACACCTTCCACTAGAGCAGGTTGCTCCAAGCCCCTGTGTCCAACCTGCCCTTGAACACTGCCAGGGATGGGGCAGCCACAGCTTCTCTGGGCACCCTGTGCCAGCGCCTCAGCACCCTCACAGGGAAGAGCTTCTGCCTCAGAGCTCATCTCAATCTCCCCTCTGGCAGGTTCAAGCCCTTGCCCCTTGTCCTGTCCCTACAGGCCCTTGTCCAAAGCCCCTCTCCAGGTCTCCTGGAGCCCCTTTAGGCCCTGGAGCTGCTCTAAGGTGTCCCCTTCAGGAGCCTTCTCTTCTCCAGCTGCCCCAGCCCAGCTCTCTCAGCCTGGCTCCAGAGCAGAGCTGCTCCAGCCTTTGGAGCATTTCCATGGCCCTCCTCTAGCCACACGAAGCATGCTCAGTCCTCTAGCTTTCTATGGCCAAAGGCATTAAAAAACTGCTTCTTGTGCAGCTCTGGACAGAGCTGGAGAGTGTTTGAGTTGGAAAAATTGCATCTGCAGGACATGGGCCATGTCTGAGATCACAGCAGCCAAGAATGAAACAGGGGTTATGCCCTGCTGCAGTGGAACTCCTGCATGCTGGCCTGGGCTTCCCCCCTCCAGACATGACACGAGACAAAGTGCATGAGACTAATAATTATCTAACATTTTCCTTATGCACTTTCAAAGGTCTCTAGGTGTCACTTGACTTCAAGAGCTAAGCAACCCGGACACCAGCGGTATCCAGGAGGAGTCTAAGTGTTTAAGCAGCCTTTCAATATGTGATGCTTTAAACACTTCAGCATGGACAAATGCAGACAGGAGTGTGTTTGATCTCCTGGAATCAGCCAGGAATTAGCCAGCCGCAGCCCCAAAACCCAGTATGGCACTAGCACAGCTCCATGCTCGAGTCACATTTCTCCATGGGCTCAGGGCTGCGAAGCACAGGAATGGGCATCGTGGAGGTGATGATGACAATCAACCTTATTCTTGGTTTAATACTGCTCTCCTGGGTTATGATATTTAACAGGGAAATATTAGAAAGCATCCGTGTACTGATTTATTGTTATCTTAGCTTGGAATCCAAAATGCATCGCATGGACACGCAACATTGTCAAGCCAATGTCACAGCTTGTTACACTGCATTCGGAGGAAACAGCCACAAGGTAAAACTCACACAGATGTAACTCAGCAGATGACCTTTCCTACACACCACATTTACATATTTTCAGACCAAATGACCTTTTCCCCCCCCCCAGGAAATTACAAAACCCCCTATTGTTAATTACTGCACCACAGCTGTAGCAGATGAGCAGAAACCACATTTGACACATTTCATCAGATGTGTGTTTTCTATGTAAGTCAATTAATTGAGGCAAAGGGAGCTGCACTGATACCCTGCCTTAAAGTGATTTCTCTAGAAATGAAATGACACATCTTGAGGGATTATTTCCTGCTAAAATCATTTTAAATAACTATATTAAAGAGAAACTACAAGTAGGGCCTGACTCTGTGTTTCACCAGTAGCCTTATATCTTTGGGAATCTCAAATGAAATGTACTTTAAATCTGTCTTACAATTGCCAGGGCAGTTGTCTTCAAGTAAATGTGATTTGGGACAGAAAGGTACAGGCATGATTTGCCTTGACAGAGGGTTTGCCCCTATGGGAGAGAAGAGGGATGTCAGGAGTAACACCATCAGTCCTGCAGAGAGGCTGCATGCACACATCTATTCAAAGCACAGGATTATTTCTGTATTAATGGAGCACAACCTGATTAAATCTGTGGCTTTACAATGAAGGGGAATTCACCAAATGCAAACACTCCTTTCAACACAAAATTTTGCAATCCTATAACTTCTGGAAACAAAGCCCCTTCTGAGCAATCCCATCTGCTCCCCTTGGCTCGTGCTCTGCGAAATAAACATCTGTTTACATGCTGAAGACACGGGTACATTTTTCTCTGTTGGTTTTATCATCGAAAAGCATTCAAATGGGTTTAAGCACAACGTTAAACATCAGATGCTAAAACCGGGGCTGTGGCTTCGAACACTTGTTTATGACTTTGCTCTTCGAGAGGAAGTTTTTTTAATTCCTGATCCAACCCCGTTGCGAAAGGACCTTTTATTGAATGGCATCTCCAGGTAAGGCTTTAAAAAAGCCACTTCTTCGTTCCTGCCCACCTTTTTTTTAGGACCAGGCAGTAATCAGATTTCCCATACAGCTGGCAATTCAAATAGAAAGGATTGCTGCTCTGAAGACAGAAAGAAAGAAAGAAAGAAAGAGAAAAACAGAGATAAGAAAAGGCAACATTAGGAATTTGTGTATTTGCCAGGGCTTGTTCAGTAGAAAAGCAAAGGAGAAACAGAAAAACACTTTATGCTTCGAATGCCAAGGATGAACTGCTATTTGCTAAAGACTCCTCATACTCCCAGTCAGATCTTTCCTAGTTTTCTAGAAGACTTCACAGTGCTATTTCTGGTATAAATTACTCATACTGCCACAATTATGTTAGGGGTATGACATGAATCGTTTTCTGTGAGGTTGACCAGTTGTGGCATGTCACACGGCTTCCCTAGAGTAGCACGTATGTTTATTGCTGTAAAATGAAACAGCATCTTGTCATCACTTTTGGGGAGTCATGTAGCTCAAATGATGGATAAGAGAAAATGAAATACCTGCAGAGCAGAAATCTGTGGGAGAAGCTTTCTAGTAGTTATGACTAGTTATGGTAGGAAGTTTAATAATGACAAAGTAGTAAATAGGAGTTTTAAAAAGTCTAGATTAAAATCCATTAAGGTTTATGTACACGTTCCTTTTACTTGCACTTTACAGTATAAAAAGGTAAACTACATAAAAACCTTTACAAATTTAAATTGCATAAAAGTCTAGATTAAAATCCATTAAGGTTTATATACACGTTCCTTTTACTTGCACTTTACAGAATAAAAAGGTAAACTACATAAAAACCTTCACAAATTTAAATTGCACTGAAATTAACATTGAATTTAAGCTCAAACATTTCCTGGCACGTCTATAGCTGCTTTGTGCATCTTGCAGCACATCGTGATTTACCAGCTTGTAGATGATCTATCCGAAAGAACTCTGCCATCATTTCTAAAGCTGTCTAAATGTCTGAAGTATTCTTGCTGGGGAAACAGTTGCATGCAAAGCCACAGGGTTAACATCTGCCTTCGCTGGAATTGATGGCAAAACTGCCATTTGCTTCACTAAGATTAGTTTTAATTCAGTATGCTATTACTTTTATTAATACTGCTTAGTGCTTAACGGTTTTTTGCCTGTTCTGTGCATATAAAAGGTAGATTAATAATTCTTCCTTCAAGCACAAGCATGCACCAGGTCTGGGTTTGTTCCCCAGGCTGCAGGTTCTCCCTAACAAGAAGAAATACTTTCTGCAACAAACACAAGCACAGAGAAATTCCCCTTTGAATTTTTAGCTGCTGTCTCACAACCTACACAGGGACTTACACGACTGAATAAATTACTGTTATTTTGACATGCAAGATATTCATGGAAATAATTAAACTCATTTTAGTTGTTGTATGATTGCCATTAAGAAATGTGGCTACTCAGATCAAGCTACATCTGAACTATCCATGGTCAGAAATGAAAGATGATTCATCATTTACAGCAGAAAACATACAGAGGGGCTGGGTGATGGGTAGATTAAGGCTAACAGGAACTTCACATCAATAAAACAAACAGCTCAGGAGCAGCCACCATTTCTGCCAGCAACACATCACCTTAATGGAAAGATAATGATGGAAAACACATCAGAGGAGACAAAGAAATCTGAACCATGGCTCCTAGAGCTGATTTGACGGCAATAAAGAAAGAGGGAGTCTGAAGAAGACTTTGTCCAAAGCAGGGAAATTAAACATCAGTAGAAATAAAGTATCTCCTTCCACACTGGCAAAGTCTTAAATGCTGTATGCATGGTTTGACCAGCAATGTGTTGTGGTAAACTGGTCGAGAGCAGCAGTTGAAAGCATATCAGCATTATTTAAGTATCCTGTTGACTTTAGTGTTATAGGTTGTTCTACTTTCATAGTTCAATCAATCAAATTTGTATTACTGATCCTATGCAATAGTTTTCCATAACTTTATATAAGAATTTCTCCTTTACTTACACAGTAACAGTGACTGATAAATGTGTTGGTTTATAACCTAGCTAGCAATAAGTGAAATTAATACATATATCTTCTTGAACCTATTTGATATAGACAAGGAATTTAGGTGGAGAGGAGATTGATGTTTTTCTCTTTTCCATACAATATTTCAGCTCCCCACATTGTACATTAAATATGCAATAGATTTCTCACATGATTATTTTAGAGGCTTGCATATTTTATTAGTAACTAAAGCAAAAATTGAGCTATACTCCAGGAAAGTCAGGTAATAATATTTAAGCAATAGCTTTAATACAAAAAACTTCTTTCATTTTATAAAACAACAACAACAGCAAGGAAACAAGCAAGCAAAAACCATTAGTTTAAATAAAATAGCTATTTGAAAGAAATCAAGCATATCCTCTTCAAGCAAAAATGACTTACCATGGAAGAGACGACTGGGTGACTCGAGCACACGAACATCATGGAGATCCAAAGAATGCAAACAAAGTTTAACCTGCATAGACTTCAAAGAGAGACTGAGATCAGCTACAAGTTAATACAAAATGAAGCAGAAAGCTCCGTGCACACACATAAACACACAGCCAGCACATTTTCTCCACATACAAAGTAATCCGCAGTGTCTTTACCTGATCATTTTTTACTCAGGAGTATATGTGTATGTACATGCAGTTATACTACCAAATTCCTCGTATATCCTTTCAGTTCTTTCTTAGATGACTGTTTTATACCAGAGTTCAGGAGTGAAAATGTCATCAAAGCTTATTTTATTATGACTAATTGGTCCTTGTTTGGCCTTTTCTTCTTGTTAAATGGGAAAATGGCAAGAACACACATTCAGCTGCCATTCTGAAACTACCCATTGATTTCATTTAAAGTGTTGCATTAAAATGTCTCTCAAGTGGGTTTACTGTTCAGTCTGTATCATCATAGCAAATGTGGTCAAAGGTCTAAAGATTTCAAAAACACATTTCAAGAATGTTTTACCACTTCCAATATAACAGATCAAGACCTTGTAAAGCTTCGCTGCAAGGGAAAAAGAGTAAAACTGTGTTTTAGATAAAGTTCTTCAAAGAATTATACTCAGAGCAGCCACAATACATAGAATCATAACATCATAGAAGGGTTTGAGTTGAAAGGACCTTAAGATCATCCAATTGCCACCCCCTGCCATGGGCAGGGAGGCCTTACTTTAGACCATGTTGCCCAAGGCTCTGTCCAGCCTGGCCTTGAACACTGCCAGGGATGGGGCATTTACCACTTCTTTGGGCAACCTGCTCCAGTGCCTCAGCACCCTCACAGTAAAGAACATAAAACATATGAACATAAACCAATATATATGGCTTTTTCTTTTTCTTTCCCTTTCTTTTTACTTGCTTAGATTTAATGGACCCAAATTTTAAGTGTTTTTCTTAGAACTTAAGTTCTTTGGACATTGATTTCTTCTCTTGCATGCAGACCTGTCTACATCAAGTTTATTTAATCAAATCTTCTATAGGATTAATAAATTCTGGTAATATCCATCAATGTAGCAAACGTTTAATGTCCAAGAACATTATTTGTTCCTGAAACAAATTTCATTGTGCAACATTTAATTTCATTGCTCAATATTTCAGGGGATCTTGTGGTTTGTTTAAACGGGGTACTGTAAAGGCAGCGAGAGCGCCACAAAGCCTGTGAATGTCACACAGGCGAGGGAATGCTGAAAAGCATTAAATTCCACTTTTTCTCCTCTTTTTGACAGTCACACAGTGTCAGACACGCACGGCAGTGACTCAGCAGCCTCAAACGTTGCCTTTCCAACAGTGTTTACCCTGAAAAATCAACGTACAAGCGCTCCAGAAGGGAACTCTGTGTGAGCCCTCCGAGAGACATGAGCTGTTATAAATTGCGGCAACTTTAACCGGAACATTCAGTCTCCTGATGTAGGTGCATTTAATTCCAGGAACTAGAAAGCAGCAGGGCCTTCAGGTAAGGCCAGAAGAAATATAGTGGCATGTATGTACAGGAGCCATTCAAGGCCAGGCTGGATGTGGTTCTGGGCAGCCTGATCTAGCTCAAGATGTCCCTGCTCATGGCAGGGTGGTTGAACTAGATGAGCTTTGAAGGTCCCTTCCAACCCAAACTATTCTGTGATTCTCTGTAAAAGCCTCTAAATGCCTACATAAAAGCAATTAAATTAAATGTCTCTATAGAAGACATTCAAGGCCAGGTTGGAGGTGGTTCTGGGCACCTGATCTAGTTGAAGACATCCCTGCTCACTGTAGGGGGGTTGGACTAGACAAGCTTTGAAGGTCCCTTCCTACCCAAACTATTCTGTGATTCTATGCAAAAACTTCAGTCACTTTTTGTAGAAATATTCCTAATTTGATCTCAGATTGAGGTTGAATGGTTTTTCGTCATCACTGTACATGGGGGTGCTGATCATGTCAGTGGTTGGTACAGTCCAATGACTTAAATTACTTCTTAAAATTACGTGTTTGTAGTGGCTGATAAAGTACTTCAAGATTCTTCGGGCCCAACAGGACTATAGAAATATAAGATGAAATTAACCTCATTTAAACACCACAGTAAGCAATCCATTTATAAGAACCGTCAAGAGAACATTTGACTATTTGCATATTCAGTAGGTGTCCTCTTATTCAGAGAGAAAATCCTTTCGTTGGAATTGAACATCCCGTTCTGACTCGTACAGGACCTCCAACTCCCACCGATAAGCGGATTAGCCCGTGTTTCTGCTGCAGTGAAAAGCATTTCAGGTTGGATTCTGCTTGAGCACAGTTTAGTGTCAGCTTTCATTGTGTCTGCATTTCGTTTCACTCCATTTTCATACAAAATTAACCTTCACACAATGTTATTAGTGGAAGATGAGGGACATGAAGAGGCTTGTGATGAAAGTTCAGGACTTCAAGGTTAGGTGTTGGAGTTTGTGCCTTAGACTGTCTGGGTAACATGGGTACATTGTTGACTTAGGTTTTTAAAATCCCAGAATCCCAGACCGGTTTGTGTTGGAAGGAACCTTAAAGCTCTTCTAGTTCCAACCCCCTGCTACAGGCAGAGACACCTTTCACTGGACCAGGCTGAGTTGTTTGAGTCACTGGTGATCACATTGTGCCTGGTCAGTACCTCCTGTTCTTAACTTTATCTTATCCCTCTAAAATAGTGGATTTGGCCACATTTCTAGCTTGCAAGCTTTGGACATGAGAGATGCCCAGAGACTCTCTGCCTACACCTTCAGCATGAGTAGGTGGTGAGAGGACAACCAAGAAGGCCACCAAGCAGCTCCCACGGACACGGCCATCCTGGCCCAGACAGGTTAAAGCTTTGAGGAGCCTGGAGCAAAGCAGCAGGTTACAGAAACTTCAAACAACATATGAAGACTGCTCCTGTGTGACTTTGTAAGGAAGGACAAAAAGATGATCAAATACGCTCGTTCAGGATGTTTCACGCAGCGGGTGGGAAAGAGGCAAATATAGCAGCAAGTCTCCCAAGCAAAACCAGTTGCATCTAGTCTGAACACTGAATAAATGATGGTTAACCTGAGGGTTTGCATGGATTTCATTCACACTAGCATTATATATATGTATATGTATATGTATCACAGTAACATCTTTCTTGGCAAAATTCTTTCACCCGCTTTCTGTTTCCAGTTCTCCCAAAACTCGTCTATGACAGACTGTGGTCATAGAATCATAGAATCACAGAATGGTTTGGGTTGGAAAGGACCTTAGGATCATCCTGTTCCAAGCCCCTGCCATGGGCAGTGACACCTTCCACTAGACCATGTCACCCAAGACTCCGTCCAACCTGGCCTTAGGACTCCAAAATCCAAGAAGAAATTCCGTCTTTTTAAAGGCTTTGACCAGCTGAGCAACCACAAACTGCTTCCACACAGGAAGGATGCATATGGCACTTAGACAAGTGTGAGATATTGAGACATCACCAATCCAGAACCGGGCTCAAGGGCTTTGTCCACCTCTGAGACACACGGAAGTGGTGTTACCTGAACAGAGTGAACATTCAAGCCCTCACTTTTGCCTCTCTCACTTCTTTGAGTTTATTTTTCTCTAGCTATGCAGGATGCAGCTTAACTCACCACCACTGTGATTTGCATGCATGAAGTGTATATGGAGATTTAGGTACATTCAAGATATTCCCACTTCAAGTTTGGATGAATCAGGTTTAACAGAACAAGTGGCAATTGACATTTCTGTCTTCTCCTCTGTCTGCAAAGCATCCAGTCTGAGGCTTTGCTCCCAGGTAAAGTTCCTGGCAGGTATCATAGGTCATACAAATCATCAAGAGCCATAATAAAAATTCCCAACATCCATAAAATTTGCATTTTATGAGAATAAATTAGCAGCAATATCTTCATTTCCCTGCAAAAACATCACTTCTTCCCTCTAGCTTTCTTTGTTAAAGGAACAGTGTATTGCACCTCGCTGCTGCTCTGGTTTGGTTTCCCCATGAAAAACATGCGAAACACAACACAAACCTTAATGATCAGCCTATAGAGCTTTAATAAGACTATAGAGCAGCTTAATAAGGTTACTAGGCCTATAAGCTTTAGAACGTATTTCCCTCCCCCAACACAGTAGTAAATCTGAAGTGTTTAAACTGTCATTGTGTGCTTTTGCTAAGGGATCAAACCAATAAAAAATGAAAGAATACACCCAAACCTGTCTGCATGATCCATTGGTATAACCCCAAACCTTGTAAAACCATAGCAGCTTAGTGGTCTGGAGAAAGGGAAGGTGCTAAATCTTGTTCTTGCCCTCTAGGATGCTCATAGTGAAACCTCAGCATGGCTGCTTTTGGAGAAAGCTGCCTGGATATTTTGCTCCGAGCTCAGATTTGTTCTTGCTTTCAAGAACATCAAGAAACCAAAGAGGCAGGATGGTTTGCTTTGAGATCAGAGCAAGGTGCAAACTGGAAATTAATCGTACTCACAGCCGATAAATCTGTGTCTGACTCAGCGATAATAGAAAATCCCAGCAAGACACAAAGGCAGAAGAAAAACAGAAGGAAAAGACAGGAATAAAGCAGCAGAACAAGTCAGAAAGCAGGTTGATCTCTTCAGTCATTATTGCTCTTCTCTCACTACCAGCAAGGGACACAACCAGACCACTGAGATCTCATCTACAGAGGCACGAAGGAGCTAAAAAGCTGCTGTAGACACACACTTGACTTGTTCAGCGCATTTCCCTGCCATGATTCTTTCTAATCCGCTTAAACTTGGTTATGATCCACAAAGAGCATTTGTCTGGCTGACAGGGACGGGGGTTATATGGCCAAATGGTGCAGCTGGGGCGAAGCAGCTCTTTCCTCCTCCCATGCCCTCAGCCATTTGGGCAGCAACTGAGCATTTCTGATGTCTCCACGAGCCCACAGCACTTGTGCCTGCAGGCTGGAGCCTGTCCCCTGTGTTATTTACTTTGCTCCTGTGCCGCCGAGGTGTTTGCACAGAGGTGCTCTCTGTGGAGGACGTGATAGTCTCCTCAAAGGTCAGGTGCATATTTTGTGAGCCCACGGAGGCCCACGGTGGATAAAGAGCTCTGCGTTCCTGTTCCAACCGCGCGGGTTCACCAGGAGGAGAGACTCAGTTATTGGATTTCATTTTCCTTGCAGAGCAAGGTG